TCTGTGCCTGGTGAGTTTGGCACCACTCACCACTGTCTACTGTAGTCTGTGGTATCTGCACAAGTGTAACTGTACTACCGATTGTGAAAATGAAAATCAGGAAAATATCTATCAGCCTGTGTATTCATAAACATCCAAGTTCTAGTTTATGCTACTCTTTTTTAACAATCTCTCAAGAACTGCATTCATTGGTGAAGAGTTGTTCAATGGAATTTGGAACAGGAGGCTTTGGTCAGACTCAACATTATCCATTCCCTTGTCTGACATCTCCTTTTCAGAAGGTATATACTTGATTTTGTCAGAATCATGGAAAATGACACAGTTAAAAACAAAGAACAAGAGAAGTCTTTAACTGCATTTGAATCAAAAGACCAGGTCTTAAGAAACAAACACTACTTCAATTTGGTAGAATACAGGCATTTTTACTTCTCTTCCATCAAAACACACTGAAAATAATCAGGAATATTAGAAAGAGGAAAAAATACCCCTCTTGAATAAAACAAGGAAGTGATCAGGACCCCATATACACAGAATATAGAAAGAAAAGCTGAGTTAAAGGAGGAAAGTGTGCTACCAACAACATTATGATCTTGACCTCATCTTCAATAGATGGAGCTTTATTGATGCAGAGCAAGGTTAATGAAAGAGAGAAGTATTACCAGATCACAACTCGTGCAATCACAGAATGCTGTGATTAAGAGCTTCGCTGTGAGCCTCAAAACATTGAATGCTGCAAACTGAAGAGTGAGGGTGACATGTGTTTAGGACAAAGCAAGTAACATTTTTGTGGCAAAGGCATTGATATCACAAACCAGAGATGCCTTGCTTGGCTCTTTCCTTTTGCAATCTAGTTTTCAGTAGCTATCCATTCAAATGTGAGTTATAATAAAAAAGGAGCCAATAGGAGACATACCTTAACACTGATATATCAATCAGGATAGTCTTGATAATGCTGCATAATAAACCCTGTGGATTGTGGTAATTTCCTGTGTGTGTGTGTGTGTGTGTTATAATACAAAACATTTTAGAGAAGCTGTCCTTGAAATGACTTATTGATTCAGGCTACTTCCATTTTATAACAATGCCATCTTAACACATGGATTACGAGTCACATGCCAGAGAAAGAGAGAGATAGTGGGTTCTACACAAGCTCTTAAATCTGTTAGCCAAGAAGTGGCATATGCCACTTTCCTTCATTGTAGCTCTTGGTTCTGGCATCTGCTCAGATGTTTGCTTTATTCAGATTTTAGCTGTGGAGTCTAGTTTAGGAAGGAAATACCCCATTTACTTATATCAATACTCCCAAATATAAGTAATGATTTCATCACCTTCATTGTACTAGTATATAGCACTTTACACCTATCTGTACAATAGTATATCACATTTATATAATATAAATTAACATATATTTATGTAATGGCCTCTTTATGACTCATTTTTGATGAATTTAATTGTATCATAATAGAACTTCTATCACACTGAATTATTCCTCATGCTGTAGATCTCAGTACCAGTTTGTATCTTGGGGAATAGACATAGTTCCTCCAACATGTAAAATTCCAAATTAATTAGATTTTTGCCTACCACATTGGTCTTGCCTACCACATTGGTCCTAACTCTGGCATATATATATTTTTTTAAATTCACAAATATTCATCTATATTCATGGATATATGTATCCATGAAGCCTGGAAGGTGAGGCTAATAGAACTAAAGATCCACTGGTAGACCTTTCAGCTAGTGGAGGACTTTGGCTATGTGAGGGTCTGGTAAAAGGCTAGTATGTACAAGGGATCAATTTTAAAAAATTATATGTGTTTTGTAAATAAATGCATACATAAATTTAAAGTTTATGAATTATACTAAAGGAAATAGACTCAACTAAGAATTTTCTTTTTAGAGTTATTAATCCTATATAATAAAAGCCTAATATGCTAAGTGTCTGGTTGTCTGGTCATCCGTTCAACCAATTAAAGCATAATATGCTAGTGATATGCTAAGGCCACTCAACCGCTCGCTATGATGAGCACTGACCACTAGGGGGCAGACAGTCGATTGGTCGATCAGTCGCTATGATATGCACTGACCACCAGGGGGCAGACCCTCTGACTGATAGGTTAGCTTGCTGCTGGGGTCCTGCCGATCAGGACTGAGTGAGATGGGCCCGACATGTCCTGGAGCCCTCCTGCGGTCCCTCCCAGGCTGGCCAATCTCTTGCGTCCCTCCCCAGCCCAATTGTGCACCGGTGGGGTCCCTCGACCTGGCCTGCGCCCTCTCGCAATCCGGGACCCCTTAGGAGATGTCGGAGAGCTGGTTTCAGCGCCATGAATTCATGGTGCATGAATTCATGTACCGTGCCTCGTTTATTATAATCCAAAGGGAAAAATGATGAGAGTATAGCCATGTTTAGTAGCAAAACCACTTAGCTGTTTTGAAGTAATGATTTTACAGACCAGTCTTTTACCTAAACCTGAAGGGAAAAGGAAACTTATTGGTAATTAAGAAATATAACACAATGTATACGGAATAAATAACAATAGAAAGAGGGAAGAAATACCCTGCGTGGATTGCCATGAACATGGAGAATGTTAGGTAAGCAATTAGCATTCCTTTAGTACTGTTTTCATCAGCTACTATTTATAGTCGTGAAAAGGTAGAGAAACATACTATTGGCATCAGCTAAAATTGTGGCACTATTGCTCTTTACACGTTATTTCGTTTTCCCAACAGTCCTGTGGGGTAGGCACTATTATTAACCCTCCTTAACAAAATGGGAAACTGAGCACAGAGCATGTAGACAATGTGTCCTATTGTTTGCGGGAACCTTGCTCTCAACCTACAGATTATATCGTCTAATGAGTGACAGAATCGAAAGACAGTCTGAAATGCTGAGGAAACAGAGAAGGAACTAGTTTGCTTGTGCCCATAAGTATAAAATGTAGTGGTGATCCTAGAATGGCTGAAGTGCCGTGTCCTAATGACATTGGCCTTCAATAATTCGGGGAAGAAAAGGAACTTGGCACTAAAGAAGCAGTGGCATAAATAGTGGTGAGTCTCTGAGAAGATAAAAATTGAGAAAATTTTTAAATTATAATTTGCATTTAGAAACTTGATATTAGTGTATATGTGAGTGTTCAATGAACTACTAGAGACCCATGGATAAAGAATATGATAGGATTGAAAGAATCAGTATAAAAAAAAAGTCTTCAGAATAATCTTAGCTATGTCTAAGGGCAATCAGAATGTCATCAGAAATAATAATCATCTAAATTTGGGTGTGATGAGAAACAATAGTTTTTTAAAAAAAGCAGAAGGAGCAGTCTAATGCTTAACAGATGATGCTACTCAAGGGACCAGATGAAGGAGTTAGCTGGGAAATGTTTCCCTGAGGACTGATATTTTGAAATGCAACTTAAAGGGTGTTAGAAGTGCATTTTAGATTTGGAATATTACATAATAGGACACATTGTCCTAGGGATTGAGCAATCAATAAGACTAAATTCAAGGGGTTATGATTTTACTTGCAAAATTGACTTCAAGTTGACATTAATCATACAAGACAGAGAAAAAGAGAAGAGTCCTAAATGGTAATCGTTCATAACACATGGCTCTTGATCTGTGGTTTAATTGGGTGCCACCAACCGCTGTGACAGCTTTGGTTTTAATTAGTGTTGTGGAAGAGCAAGACAACACATTTTGAGAACAGTGCTATATTAAGAAGAGCTTTGCAGAAAATCAAAATAAGATGCCCCTGGAAAACCTCCTAAGGAGTGCCTGGGAGTAGGAGGGAAAGCAAAGGGGTGTCAGGAACCGAGGTATAGCTATGCAGAGGCAGAGACACCTGGGAAGTGTAATCAGCAAAACCTAGAGAAAATTGTCACCAAATGAGATGGAAATTTCGGTATTGAATCCAAAAAAGACCAGTATGATGCAGTCCAGCACCTTGATGCAGAACTCATATTGCAAATGTCTAACTTGTCCTTCCTCTCCTCACTCATCAGGCTCACTTCTTTGCTGTTATTCATCCTTTCTCCTGCAGGGGTTTTCTTGGACTAATTTATTCAAATGGTTATTTATCAGGGATCTACACTGTGAGCTTGGCATTGGGCAGAGTACAAAACACCTACCCTGCAAAGGATACCTGACTTTAGTGGGAAAGGTAGTGACTTTGGGGTTCCATACAACTGAGTTTATATATGCTAGGACATACAGTTGTGAGATTATAGACAGGCCAGTCCATTTCTCTGAGGCTTTTTCTTAACCGTAGAGATGCGACAGACAATACTGTCATTCTGAGGATTAGATGCAATGTTTCTCCACTATAATGGATGTTGACAGCATGCTAAAACTCTTCTCATTAAGGGGAAGGCATTTGACTTGGGAAGTCAGATTCCGTTTCTGTTAGGGCAGCCTGAAACAGTGTGCATTCTAAATTGCGATGATCTAGACCAGAATCTTGTAAAAGTATGGTACAAGAATCCTAGATCCCCAGTCTGTTAATTAGCTGTTTGGAGAGTAGGGAGAAAGTTCCTCATTTGGGGACATGCTTGGTTAGCCCCAAATAAATGAATTTCTACTTTGCATGACTGCTCAGGCCTCTCTCCGCTCAGTGGGAAACCCTGGCAGGCACAGCATCCCTCCTCACTCACGCCTGCCACGCTTGGGAGTTGGACCAGCCCCTCTTTCAACCCCAGGCAAGGTGATTTCTGCCCTTTCTTATAAAAAACATCCTCTTACACTAGTCCTCAGTTGGTAATCAAGGTGATTATTCCCCAATTTAGTTTTAATTCCATTTTGGTTGTGGAGGAGGTGAGAGAAAGACCCATCTACTTCACTACCATCTTAAAACCTTCCTCAATGGATTTTCAGCAAAACTCTATAGTATCTTCCTTTTGAGACACTCTCAGATTTGTCCTCTCAGGGCCCCACGTAAGCACCCATCTCAGCATTTTTGTCTTATCAAGTCTGCCCTTTCTTCTTTCTTCTCCTTCGTAACCAAGGTTTTCAGGCAGTATGCTGCACACCCTGCACACATGTGAAGGTGAGTGGTGAAGAGTGTGTAATGTTGTGGGCCTATCAGATGGAACTTTGAACTGAAGCATTGATTTGACAAAATGTCGCGTGGGGCGCAGCACACTACAGTTAAGAGGCTTCATGTCTGTCAGGCTTGCACCAATAAGTATTTCCGGATTAATGGGATGTGAAGGACTGTGCTTCATGTGTACTCACCGAGATTATAGCTGGGAAGGTCATGAATTCTACTCAGACAGCACCAAGATGCTGAAAGGAGAGCAGGTTGCTGGTGTGGTGGTATGGATAGTGGTTGTACATGAGAAATGAATGTGCTGTAATTACTGTTGACTGATGTTATCTTTTGCATTCTTTGTCCTCCCTCTATCTCCCCATACCCCTTTCTTTGTTCCTTCTTTTGTTCCTTTGGTTTTTAAACATTTCATTCAGTGTGAGGACCACTGCACTTCCAAGTCCAGCTTGTATGTGTCCCATTTCCATGCTTCTTTCTCCGGTTTCTTCATACAGCATCTGTTTTGCTTCTGGTTAAGTACAAAGAAGTTTAGTGCCCATGTAAGCTGCTAGAGAGCAAATGTCTTCTTTGCACTCTCTCAGGCTTATCTTTTTTATTAAATTTTTCAGAGTCAGCTTATATTTATCTTTTTCAGATTGTTTACTTTTTTCATAATTAATTGCTTTTTCTAGTTTTTAAAGTTCTATGTGTTGTCTTTTATTATTTTTTAAATGAGTAGCATGTTTATTCATCTTGAGTATTTATTGTTTGATAATGAAGGCATTTAAGGGCATATAATTCCTGACATCAGCTTGGGCTGTGTCCTTCAATTTTATATGAAATATTTCCTGTTTCTTTGCTTTAAAGAAAGCTGAATTTTTTTTTGTTTTGATTTTTCTCTTGGAGTTCAGGGATGGTCAGATACACTTCATTTCCAAGTAGTTGAGATTAGCATTATTTAGAATTTTTTGAATGCGATCAGAGTGAAGTCTGTATAATTCCTACTTTTCAGTTTGTTTAAGGACTTGTTGAAGCTTTTTTCTTATGAATTGTCAAGTACAAAATCAATGTTTGTAAGTTTCCATGAATATTCATAAAAATTATCTATTTTATATGTATTATATATGTAAGGTTTGTTATTTGTATCATTCATTTCTTCTCATCCCCTATTTTATTCTTTCAGTGCTATTCAGTTCTGAATGAAGTATAATAAAGTATATCACTATAATTGTATTGTTTTCCTGGTCTTGCATTCCTAAGAATTTTTGCCTTATGGTTTTTTTAGTTTATTTGTTATTTGTTGCAAACAGTTTTATGGATCATCATTCCTTCTCCATAAATTATGGCGGGTTTTTTTTTACATTACCAAATGACTTCATTTTCTTTAATGTTTGTTAACTTTTAAAAATATTAGTATTATCATTCTTGCTTTACCTTTCATTGCATTTTTTCTGGTACATTTAACCATCTATTTTCAACTTTTGTTTAATAAAATGGGTATGTTTATTAGAAACTACATATAACTTGGTTTTGATTTTTTAGCCCACTCTGTTAGTCTTCATTTTTTAATGGGAGAATTCAATCCATTGATATCTACTGTATTAACTGATGAATTTTATTATATTCCTTCAACTTAATTTGACAGCAAATATGTCTATTCTTCTTTATTAAATACAGTCCTGTGCAAGAAATACTAAACAATTACTTGAGTTTCAGTCTTGACAAGCTGTGTTTGAAATGGCAGTAGGTGCTCCAAGTGAAAACGACTGCCAGAAAGTTGGATGTAGAAGAGGAATGGAACCTAAGCCAGAAAACATGACTGAACAGTTACATCTTGGCATTATCTGCTCTATTAGTCAGGGTTCCCCAGAGAAACAGAACCAGTAAGTTAGAGAAGAGAGTGAGACTGACAATGAAGGAGAGGGAGAGAGATTGGTTTAATTTAAGGAATTGGCTCACACAATTGTAGGAACTGGCAAATCTGCAATCTGCAAAGCAGGCTGGCAGCCTGGAAATTCAGGTAAGAGTTGATGTTGCAGCCTTGAGTCTAAGATCTGCAGGGTAGAAACAGGCAGGGTTTGCATGTCTTGAGGCAGAATTTTTTCTTTGGGAGCGCTAAGATTTTGCTCGTAAGGCCATTGACTGATTGAACAAGGCTTACCCACATATAGATGGTAATCAGCTGGCTTCAATATTAATCACATCTAAAAAATACCTTCACAGCAACATCCGAACTGGTGTTAGACACATAATTAGCCATTACCTCAGCACCATAGAAAAAGTTGACTAAATGTGAGTGGATAATTTCCAAAAGGAACAATAACTACAAATAAAAACAGAGCCAAAGTTCAAGGACTTAGCATTAGGCAATTAATTACCACAGTTGGTTTCCATTACTTCACTGAGAAACTCCAGTGTCCCCATTCTTTTGGTGATATTTAAGGTGTGTTCTTGACACACAAAAATGTATGCTTGTTTTTTTCTTTTTAGTGTTTGTCAGTTTTTCTTTAGATCAGAACTTCAGGTTGCAAACATTTCCCGAGTGTCTGCTGTTTCATTAGTCTTCTCTGTATCCTAGCGGTCTGCTTGTCCTGCAGTTATGATTTGTAACATGTTAATCCTACCCTGTGCCTCCATAGAGCTTAAAGCTAAATAAATACCACTGCTCTACTGTTGCTGTTGTGCTGACAGACTATCCCGGTCTGGACTATTCCAGACCCCGTCCATCTGTTGACTTGGTATATCTGGGAGGATCTGCAAAGGTCTCTGTTTACCCTTTGCAATCTAATATGTACTTTCAAATGAGTTTACTAAATAAATCCTTCCAGCCTGGCTTAGTTTAGTTACGATTTCAGTATCTCCAATGATGAGCAATTTTATTAAACTAGGGTTAAGCATATGTGTTTTGGGTTCAAACCTTGGGTCTGCCTGAGTTCAAATCAATACTCCAACACTTCGTAGCCATCTAAACTTATTCAACCAGTTAACTGCCACGCGTCCAAGATGGAAACCATCCCCACACGCCACGATATTTTGAATTTAATTTAAAAAAATCAATTTGCCATGAATATTATAAAAATAAATACATTACTCACAATTTGGGTGTTCTTGAATATTTTCAGCTGCAAATTCTCACGAAAAATGATTTTAAAGTTGGTCAGGGCTGCCACTTAGGGAAAACTTTTTTTTTATAGACACGCCTGGCATGTGGGGAAGGTCCGCCGCTTGCATCTATAGACGCTTATGGTGTACGATGGATCAAATTTCCTAACTTCTCTGAGGCTCACTTTCTCTCTTTGTAACATGGGGGATATTAAATGTTCTTGCATCATGCTATTTATTGTAGTGAGGCTTAAATGAAATAAGGATTGGTTATTTTAATTATAAAAGTACTGCTTTTTTCTACTCAAAGCAATATTTCTTTTCTACATGACAACTTCTAACTCATGTGTTTTTTTGTTTTGTTTTGTTAATGCTCATCCAAAGATATTTTCCATTGTTTTTAGGGAGAGTGGAAGAAAGAGGGAAAGTCAGAGAGAAACACATTGATTGGTTGCCTTCTGCACAAGCCCTGACCAGGGCCCAGGCTGGGGAGGAGCCTGCAACCAAGGTTACATGCCCTTGACGGGAATTGAACCCGGGACCCTTTGGTCTGCAGGCCGACCCTCTATTCACTGAGCTAAACCGGCTAGGGCATAATTCATGTTTTTTTAAGAAACAAAAATTCATGACATAAGTGGTTAACTCCAACCTCTTTCACCAATTATTTGTATTCTTATATTTTCCTGGGCTTTTTTCAGTGAGCAGTTTTCTATGTCTGTTATAAACTAGGTTTGATGAAACAAATCCAAGAGAAAGAATCTTATTTGCTATCCAAGTCAAACAGAGATACCTCTGATGTTGCTAAATTTAGAAATAAAATACTCCAGCTACATGACTCATGGCTCTCTGATTTGGTTAGTGTGGTACTCAGTTGCTGTCAGGCAAATCAAAATGTTATTAAAGCGAAGTCCTACTTATTAGTTTCATTTAGGGACTTTAGGAAAAGTCATTACTGGACTGGTCACCTCTAAGCAAATCTTAGCATTTCTGTTCCGCCCCTGCCCCCCTCCCCCATATGTGTTGCCCTTTTTGCTGAGATTGTTCTTGTCCAAAACTTGTCCACTCTAAATATTTCAAGATCCTCACATCACCATAATGATGTCATCACTAGTTACAAATTACTCTGTAAGTCTTTACCTTTGCCTGCCTGCCCACGAATGGGCTAATCAGGTTGCTGTTACATCCGAGTTATCTTCCTATCGCCACTTACCTGACAGTAGGATTCTGACTCTTCTCAGTCTCTTCTCCAAGCTTGAATTCACTAAGTAAAAGCTAAGCTAGTATAGATTCCTGAATAACCCACAGAAAAGATGCCGTGTAGTTGGTAACCACTCTGACTGCTGAATCAACTCTCGCAGACTCCTCTCTCTAATGGAACTTTGAGGAATAAGTCGAATAGTGCTCCACCCCATTATCAGATTTCAACGGAATAAAGCTTAGCTTTGGTTATATCTTGTTTTTGTTTGTTTCCCATTGTGTTTGTGCCCCACTGGGTACAGCACAGTTCGGGCTTCATCTGGATGTATTTTCATCTCACAGAGACAGTAATTGAATCTCTGACAATAGTCTTGCCTTTGAGGAGTGTTTCACCTCGGGGATGCCAAATCAGGCTAGTTCTTGGTTTTCTTGGAAGGTGATGCCCCATCTGTTGACTGTGAACTGTGGCAATGCAGAATTCCCCGGACAGTCAGAGGAAGGGGCCGGAAGCATTTACAATCCTTCTACGGAAAGAGCCATTCTGTTTTTACCCGGGATCCCTCTGCATGCACCTGCAGGCTCAGCAACGCGTGGAGGTTGATCTCTGCTCTCTGACTGAGGTTTGCAGCAGATCTGTGGCAAGTGCAAGCAGCTTCTGAGATGCCGCTGGAGGCTGCCTTCAACTGCTTTCCAGCTCTGAGCTCTCCGCTGCAGCGTTTGCTAGCCATTTGATAACATCATTATAAACTCTCATGGGTTTGGAACAAGTCCCATTCCAACCTTTCTGGGGCTTCCAGGTAAGCAGTCTTGGACTTGGGTGTGTCCACAGTAAGTTTAGAGGTGAGAGGAAGAGGCCTGAGCCCCAGTGTCACCAACAAGGGTTGGGCACAAATTTGGCAGAAATATGCCTAAAGCTTTATGCAGACATCAGGGATTCTATCACATCTGGGACAGCGAAAGTGAAAGAGGAAGGACTGAATATGCTAGAGCCTGCTGACCATTTCCAAGAAAAGTTAAGAACACTGATTTTGATGTTATTCTCGTAATTTATGCAAGCTAGGACAAACATGCGAAAGACGAACGTTAGGAAAGAGTTAAAACATTCTCAACACCTTCTCCTGCTACCT